AAGAGAAGAAGAGGAATTTGGATTTGATATTCCGCTTTATCACTACCCTAGGGAGTCTCAAAGCAGCTAACAATCTCCTTCCCTTCCTCCCCCACAACAAACACTCTGTGAGGCTGAGAGACTTCAGAGAAGTGTGACTGGCCCAAGGTCACCCAGCAGCTTCATGTAGAGGAGCAGGGACGCGAACCCGGTTCACCAGATTACAAGTCTACCACTCCTAACCACTACACCACACTGGTAATGTGTTATAGAATGATTCTAAGCCTCTCACTCCCTCTGGGAACAAATGGTCCTGGGGTCATATTGGCAGGTCCACACTGGATTTAGAGTAAGGTTACTCTTGTCAGCACTGTTTACAGGGTTTTTGGGAGGGCACTTTGCACCTCTCTGGCTTCCTGGTATCTATTGTGACTCACAGGTGGTCAGAGCAGGCTGGAAGGGCAAAGTCAAGGCCCCTAAAGCCACAGCCAAGCACCACTTTCAATGCCCACCTTGTCTTCAGTTGAAGAAAGGCCTCGATGGTCAGCTAATTCAGGCTTGCTTTGTCAGGCTGGAGAATGCTGAGGCTGAGAAGGTGGCCCTTGAAGAAGGCGAAGCCTACTGTCTATGGCCCTTGGATTCAGGGAAGCGGGCTTAGCATGGAATCTCCAACTCTGTTGACACCTGCCAGGGCTTGAGATGCTAGTCCAGCCTCTGGTTCAGGAGAAGTTTCCCCTTTTCAGAAATGGGATTGACCTGTCTGGGGTCCCTAACCACATGGAGATTTCCACATTGGGGGCCCAGCCAGTCTTCTGTGGTTGCTAGACAGACTTCACTGTTTTTGTGGACCCATTCTCCTTTCTTGGAAGGGGGTATGGGCAGAAGGAGATGATGTGGACCTGATATTGGAATATCGTGTACAGAGCCTATTCTGAGTTTGTGGGCAGAGAATGGCTGGCATATGAAGAGGCTTTTTGTATTACGGCTGCCTTTGAATGTTTCCTACTATGGCATAAGGAGGAGGTGGGGATGTGGGTGGCGTTGTGGTCTAAACCACCGAGCCTCTTGGACTTACTGATCAGAAGATTGGCGGTTCAAATCCCCGCGATGGGGTGAGCTCCCATTGCTCTGTCCCAGCTCCTGCCAACCCAGCAGTTCAAAAGCACACGAGTGCAAGTAGCTAAATAGGTACTGCTGTGGCGGGAAGGTAAATGCCGTTTCTGTGCGCTCTGGTTTCTGTCACGGTGTTCCGTTGCACCAGAAGTGGTTTAGTCATGCTGGCCACTTGACCCAGAAAGCGGTTCCCGAGGCCTGAAAGCAGATCAGGGCTTTTTCGGCCGTGGCCCTGATCTGGTGGAACATTCTGTCACAAAAGACTAGGGCCCTGCGGGACTTGACATCTTTCCGCAGGGCCTGCAAGACAGAGCTGTTCCACCAGGCCTTTGGCCAAGGCACAGCCTGACTCCCTCCTTTGGCAATCCTCACAGAACTTCTAGCCCAATGGTTTCCATTAAATTGATTGGAATTAATTTTATAATGAAATGATTTTAGAATGTTTTATCGTTTTACTGTTGTTAGCCGCTCTGAGCCTGGCTTCGGCTGGGGAGGGCGGGATATAAATAAAATTTTATTATTATTATTATTATTATTATTATTATTATTATTATTATTAGAGTGCTGCAACCACATAGTCGCCTTTGACTGGACTTAACCGTCCAGGGGTCCTTTACCTTTTTTTACCTTTAAGAAGGAGGTGGACCTATGGCTCACTCTTATCTGATCTGTAGGGACAGGACTGATAATGGCCATCTTCTGGCTAGGCATGTTGCTCTTCCTTCACGTTCCCACAGGGTAGGAGGGGGGTTCAACCTTGTTTGCTTTGCTGGAGTACAGTTAATGTGGTATCTGCCGAATCCCTGGTGGTTCATACGACTCAATTTCCCCAAATTAATCTGGACATCACAAATTCACAGAAACCTGCCCAGCGGTTGTTTGAAATCTGTGATGCTCTGATTGTGCGACCTAGCCACTGCCACCTCTTCCAGGGTGGCCGGAGCAGCCTCCATCATAGGCTCCTCCACCACTGTGGCTGATATCTGCCGCATCCATATTCACAGAAGTGGGCGCAACACATCCAAAAGCACACTTCTGGACGTAGGTGTCTCACTTCTGGTGGCTGTGGCAAGGCTGAGTAGGCTGCAAGAAGGCTGAGGCCCAGCCACCGTGGCACTGGAGAAAGAGCCAGCAGAGCGAAGGGTTGCGGTGGTGGTGGTGGTGGGAGAGCATGTGGTTGGGTGGAAGGGGGAGAAAGAGTGTGCGGATGTTGCGCTTTCCCTCCCAAGCTCCATCTTGGCATGGGGGGTGGTGGTCCTCATCCCTTCACGACTTGTCCCTGACAAAGGTTCTGCTAGGGTGGTTTCTGGGATTCCCAGGGTAAGATGCTGGGACCATCAAGCACTATTCCTGGGAAAGGGCCCCAGCTCAATCAGTGCAGCAGCTTTGTGACATCTGATGGAAAATTACACCCCCCCAAAGGCAGACACCCTATATCTTAAGGAAGGGTTTTTTAAAGTTTTGCATCCCCTGTGTTGGTCCATACTCCCCCCTTACTTTTGCTCGTGATTTGAAGTTAGTGGTGGGGAGGAAGTCCTTAGTGTCTCAGCCTTTGTTTTTGACAGATCAGTGGGGACATATCATGGTATGTGGCCTAGTGTGGTATTCTAGGTGATCACCAGGTGGCAAAGCCAAACATTGGGACCAAGCTGTGCCTTAGGCAGTGGGCTTCGGCTGGATTGCCATGGCATGCATTGGGATAGGTTGCTCCTGATCCTGTTCCAGCAAGGTGGGGTGTGCCCCCATGCATGTTTTGGTTGCCCATCTGGGCTTGTGGGATCGCCAGCCTCGTAGAACCAACATGCTTAAGTCCACTTGATGCATGAAGGGGTTAATGGCATAGAGTAAGCTGTCCTGCCAGGCTTAGCTAGGCCACTCCTCACCTTGGGAGGAGGGGAATCAAACCTATTGTTGTACCTCAGTTTATCTGAGAAGCTCAGTGTGTAAAGAGGTCTGAGCTAGTTGCTCCAAGCACCAATCTTGTCTTCAATGCTATTCAACACCCATATGGTCACTATGAGTTTTTGGAGCTGTGCCTGGATGCAGTGGTGAACGAGGATCTATAAACTGACCTTGAATCCTGGAAAGATGGACTTAGCAATGTCACCTTAGCAACAAAAGAAACCTTAGAACACCATTTGCTTCTCATCTCCCATTCCTGGTAATGTAACAACTAATATTTTTATTTTTAAAACTGCTGAATGCTAAAAGTCTGAGAGTCCCCCTACAGAGCACTGGGTGGAGGGACTGAGCATAAAGATGAATGAGAAATCGCCCCACTCCCAAATTAACTTAATTCACCCATAGTTCACCCAGCAATTATGGTAGCAACTTTCTGCGGTCGTTCAGAGATTTTTGTTCAAATGCACTAGTTGATTCCAAGCACTGGGGGTACCAGGACCATAGTGCACATGTGTTGCTGCGTAGGTTTTTGGGTTGCTATGTATTGCAAAATTGCTTCAGTTGCGGGATGAGCCTAGGATCCAACCCCAGAGGACAGGATCACACTTCAAAACGACCTTGACAGATTAGAGAACTGGGCCAAAACAAACAAGATGAATTTTAACAGGGAGAAATGTAAAGTATTGCACTTGGGCAAAAAAAATGAGAGGCACAAATACAAGATGGGTGACACCTGGCTTGAGAGCAGTACATGTGAAAAGGATCTAGGAGTCTTGGTTGACCACAAACTTGACATGAGCCAACAGTGTGACGCGGCAGCTAAAAAAGCCAATGCAATTCTGGGCCTCATCAATAGGAGTATAGCATCTAGATCAAGGGAAGTAATAGTGCCACTGTATTCTGCTCTGGTCAGACCTCACCTGGAGTACTGTGTCCAGTTCTGGGCACCACAGTTCAAGAAGGACACTGACAAACTGGAACGTGTCCAGAGGAGGGCAACCAAAATGGTCAAAGGCCTGGAAATGATGCCTTATGAGGAACGGCTAAGGGAGCTGGGCATGTTTAGCCTGGAGAAGAGGAGGTTAAGGGGTGATATGATAGCCATGTTCAAATATATAAAAGGATGTCACATAGAGGAGGGAGAAAGGCTGTTTTCTGCTGCTCCAGAGAAGCGGACACGGAGCAATGGATCCAAACTACAAGAAAGAAGATTCCACCTAAACATTAGGAAGAACTTCCTGACAGTAAGAGCTGTTCGACAGTGGAATTTGCTGCCAAGGAGTGTGGTGGAGTCTCCTTCTTTGGAGGTCTTTAAGCAGAGGCTTGACAACCATATGTCAGAAGTGCTCTGATGGTGTTTCCTGCTTGGCAGGGGGTTGGACTCGATGGCCCTTGTGGTCTCTTCCAACTCTATGATTCTATGATTCTGTGTTATGTCAGTGTGAGCCCAGGTGGAGCAGCTGTGGGTTGGTTACACTTCATATCATTACATATCATTCCAGGCTTCCTGTATCCGCATTTACTCAGCCATACATTGCATCCCTCTTGGGATCCTTTGCAGGTGTGCATCTGTGTGCCTTTTATTTCTCCTGTGACTCTTTAGACCCTACCCCCCAACTCCCCACCCCCCCATTAGGCAAAAAGAAAGAATGAAAACATCCATGCATGCAAGACTTTTTATGAGTTTTCAGTTTCAAAAACATGTTAAGAAATTTCATTTAGATGGGATCTGTCAGAAGAAACTGGAGGATTGTATGATTTAAGTGAGAATGCAGAGTTCAACGAAGATGATGAACGCCCCAAGAGGGACCTCCTATGTTATTTCGGGGGGCGGGGGGCGGGGCGAGGCACTTGCAAGAAGCGACACAATCTTGCATAATTTCCTATTTATTGCATCCTTGTGATTTCACTACAGCTTCACAGGTGATGTTATTATCTCTATATTTTCAATGATTGGCTAAAAATGAAAAGGACAAGAACACATCAGAGTTAACACCTCCAAGGATTCAAACTCCAGGGACTTTTTCATTTTTAGTTGACATAGTGGAGCTTAAGATCAAAACTGAAAGTGATTTAAAAGAAAAAGAAGATCACGTAAAACATTATTTAGCAGTTTGTTTTAATGAATGTAGGAGCTGAATTAGTAATTAGTTTAGCAATCCTGGCTGTAACCCAGAATAAATTGGGCATTTTTTTAAAGGGTGGATGTGCAGGTCATGAGAACATTGACATTGACATCCTGCAACCACCTACAGAATAAGGAAGGTTATGGGGTCCATAATCTTGTGCACATCTACTCAGGAATAAGCTTCCATCAAATTTACTGGGATCCATTCTTACTGAGTGCCCTTTCTGAAGTACAAAAAGGCATTATGATAATATTTGAAGTTATTTCTACTCACTGCATAATCCATTGTCGCATGAGCCAGGGCAGTTCCCACAAGGTGATCCAGACTTATATGGGGTTTGAAGTGATCCCATCATGTTCCCTCTGGGATGATAAATAAGATAAATAAGAAGTAAACAAACAGGGATACATTTGTGCTTTCTGCTCTCAAAGTATTTATGCATATTTTTAGAAAGTTGCTTTAGTCTACTGTTATATTAACCTTTTGTGTGTTGTAAATTATTGTTCTTAATTTTTCCTTAATTTTATTGTTCAAACTGCTCTGACATCTTCTGACAATCAAGCAGTGCATACATTTTTGAAATGAATGTGAGGAATAGGGCTGCACGCTGGATTTTGCTGAAGCTCCAAGCCTAAAATGAATTGAGCTCATTCAGGTGGATTGGGGCTTTGGCTGAGTCGGGTGGAGACAAGGCCAAACAGGGTCAGCCTCCCAGAGCGACTGGGCAGCTGGGAGAAGGAGCACCTCTTCCCAGCAAGGGAAGACAGCCATGCGGTGAAGCTGAGCAGGACTGAACCCTCCTGCCTCTGCCATGCAGCTGTCAGGGTGGGATACAGAGAGAAGGAGGGGCAGCAGCTCCTTCTGCCTCCCAAATATATTGGCTTATTGTTCTAGTCAGATGCAGGAAAAAGCCAACTCACTCTTCAACTGAAAAAGTCCGGGCAAAGTTGAAAGCAGGTTTATGTAACAATGATGAGAAATTAGTTTCTAACATGTACAAATCATTGCTAGGCTGCGAAACAAAGGATGAAATGGTTAAAATAACAATGACTAATTGTGCTAAGGATGTTGGACATAATATAGATACGGCTGCCTGGGAAGAGCTTTGGAAAACAGGAATGACATTTACAGCATTTTATGGCTTAAAAGAAAATTATTACAAGATGATATACAGATCATATTTAACCCCAAAGAAACTAGTTCAAATGTACAAAAATGTATCAAACAAGTGTTGGAAATGTAATGACTGTGAGGGGTCATTTTATCATATGTGGTGGACCTGCAGGGAGGCGAAGGCCTTTTGGGACGTGATATATAATGAAATTAAGAAAAATAAATTAATTGGCTTTTCCCAAGAGGCTAGAATCCTTCCTACTGGGGATACTAGACAGAAAAATCCCAAAGGAAGCCTCAATGGTATTTATGTATGTGAGTACAATGGCAAGGATTCTCAATGCACAGCAATGGAAGGAGGAGGGAACACCTTCAAAGGAAGAATGGTTGATGAAAATCTGGGAATACGCAGAGATGGCAAAACTGACAGCACTGATAAGAGACACAGATTTCAAATCCTTAAAGAAGACTGGAAACCCTTTCTAGTCTACAGTGGTACCTCGGGTTACATACGCTTCAGGTTACATACACTTCAGGTTACAGACAGAAATAGTACCTCAGGTTAAGAACTTTGCTTCAGCATGAGAACAGAAATCGTGCTCCGGCGGAGCGGCAGCAGGAGGCCCCATTAGCTAAAGTGGTGCTTCAGGTTAAGAACAGTTTTAGGTTAAGAACAGACCTCCAGAATGAATTAAATACTTAACCCGAGGTACCACTGTATTAAAAAAGTTATTCGCCATATGCAAAGACCACATTGGGGTTTGAAGTGTCAGAAAACAGCCGAATATATTAAGAAACATGTTAAAGAGGATGAAATTATATAAGACAGAACCTTAAAATGCAATTGTATGTAATTTGGGTTACAAACATCTATGTTGGGTGAACGGGAAGTCACTAGTTTTGTGACTTCCCTGCCTATTCTCCTGAGGATAACTGTGACTGCTCCTATGAACAAGGAAAAAATTGGGCTGAATGAAGTAAGCCTCCCAGAATTCTCTACACTAGTTGTGGGTGGGAAATGGAGGTTTTCTGCCAAATATTCTCTGGGGTGGCACGGGATTTCCCCAGGATTTTAGAGCTGGCATAAGGAAGTTGATATGGTTAAGGTCTGACTGGATCCACCCTGATGGTGAAGTTAGGGAGTCCATTTCACTGAATATTCAGTGCAATGAACATTCCGGAATGAAAGTGTTTAGGAGGATCCAAAGGGAGCGGGGAGGTAGAGGTTTCCATAAAATGTCAGAAAATTCTTTTCTGAGGGGTTTTGACTTTGTCATTAAAAAAATAAACCCACTGCTGCTTCCTTATTTTTTAGGCAAATAGCCCAAAGGTAATAAGGACTTTGTTGTTTTCGTTTTCTGGTTGGTTGGCAGCCATTGAAATGCAGAGTTAATACAGTACTAGTGTGCTGCCCAAGTGTCCTGTGGCTCTTATGAGGGTTCTTTTATTCAGGTTTGTGTGGTTTTTTTGGTAATATATAAAAGGAAAACTGATATGAAACATAAATCCTTTGGAGACTATGGGTAACAAATGACAAACAAACAAACAAACAAACAAACAAACAAACAGATAAGTAAATAATACATACGCAGGACAGTACTGGCAAACGTAGAGGTACTTCATTCTGCTTTGAGGACAATGGGCATCATGACAACCAATTAGGTGAGACTTGTGCCAAACCACCTGTAAGTATAAGAACATCCACACAAGAAAACATATTGGAATCTGTTTCCATGCCGAGCAAGGAAAACATACATTTAACAGCTTTTTTAAAAAAAACAACAATCAAAATATCATCACTTTGTGTTGTGTCTAATTGAAGCACCCTCATTTTTCCCCTCAGGGAAAGGAAGTTTGAATAAGCTGTGAATGAGAATGGCATCCGAAGAAAAAACAGAAAGATAGGCACAGCAGAGATAAGGACAATCCATGATCTGAACTTCTGTGTGAAAAATATGGAAAAAGTACTGGGTGAAACACGAGGAACACAACCACTCCTTCTCAGTTTCCTTTCCTTCTGTGAGGTCCCAGGGAGCCGCAAGCCAAGATGTGAGTGGGCTGTCAGGCATGGATTGACTAGCTGAACCATGCGCTTGACAAAGATACAAAACGGTGTTTGAGTTACCTGAGTGTAATGGCCAGTTACGGCCCCTGGACGGACTGCTCCATCACCGTACTTGAAATCTTTCACCTCGTTGTACCAAGCTTGAATCACGTCATTCCATGGAGTAGCGTGAGATGATGCATATATATTTTCACCACATGAGATGCCATCTAGAAGTTGAGACGGGAAGCATTAGCAAAACTCATGATTCCTGACCTAGGAAATTCTGTAAACAAGATTGGAAGAAAGTTTAAAAACTCATTTAGAGAAATAATGTAAATTTAATGACTGTTAGAAAAATGTTGGAATGAAACTATTTGGCTTTAGTAGAAACGCTATAAGGAGTTATGTACAAATAAGTTTTAAGTCTTAGTACTTTTTATGGTAAGAAAAAGTTAAAATAAATTAAGACAATTAAATGACAGAATATGGTGAAAGATGGAAAGGATTTGCTGAGATAATTAATAATTAGAATACAAAAAAGGAAGGTGTGAGGAGGTCGATGAAACAAGTTAATGAAAGATAAAGATATGGGAATATTGGATTTGTTTTTAATTCTTTTTTTTTGCTTTTGTTTTTGGTTTTGATGTATTGTGTGTTTTGTATTCTTTTTACTTTTTGTTGACTTGTATTGTTTAATTTCTTTTTTCTCTCTCTTCTTTTTCTGTTTTTCTGTAAATTCTTAATTCTTAATAAATATCATTTTTTTAAAAAAAGGGAATTCTGTAAACAAGAGGAGTCATTCAATTCTTCAGAGGAACATGCTGCAACAGGTAAAAGCTTGTTTATTCCAAGCAGAATTTGTCCCCCCACTCACAAATCTGTCTGGTTAGCTAGTTGGTTAAAGCTACTTACATCTGAATGCAAAATAATTATTCTAAAGCAAAAGGTACACCTGTTTTGTTGTTAGCACATGTATGTTTGCCTGTAAATGTCTTTTCTAAAAGGCACTCGCTCTCTGGGGGTTTTAGAATTACTGCAGTGGTGTCTGGTCAGTGGACAAGGCAAGTCCCCATAAGGGTTCAAGAGCCCTCCTGACACCTTTCCAAAGCCCACCTGGCATCTTGTCAGAGGCCTGGCGCCTCCTTCTCAAAGCCCAGGAAGCTTCTGCCCAGCTTAGGGATGGAGGCGCAATGCTCACGTGTGTGACATTGTGGCGTCGTAATGTCACACATGCAACCTCACCCCAATTGCCCTTGCAAGCTGTCACTTCTCACCTTAACTTTCCATGTGAAAAATTTCACTGCTTGCCACTGAATTATTGTATTGATCTCTGTCTCTGTCTCTGTCTCTGTCTCTGTCTCTGTCTCTGTCTGTCTCTGTCTCTGTCTCTGTCTCTGTCTGTCTCTGTCTCTGTCTCGTCTCCAATCTCCATCTCCATCTCCATCGCTATCATCTCTGTCTCTGTCTCTGTCTCTGTCTCTGTCTCTGTCTCTGTCTCTGTCTCTGTCTCTGTCTCTGTCTCCGGTCTCCGGTCTCCGGTCTCCGGTCTCCCGTCTCCCGTCTCCCGTCTCCCGTCTCCCGTCTCCTGTCTCCCGTCTCCCTCCATTACTGTGATTAACAAGGCAGAGATATTGAAGTTCAAAAGCAAAATGTTTCAGGTTTCACCTTCTTTAGAACACCCGAGGGAGCAGGAAGGTGCAGTGCACTGGTCCTCTGTGCTTAAAAAGTTATATGTATCACAGGTGGACACAGTGTGTGTCGAGGTAAAGCTTAGCTAGTGAGAATGGCATGTGGAATTCTGACTTCAGATGTTAGGGAGAATGGGAACATTCCTCTCCATTGTGCCTCTTTCTGTGGGATTCCTCGGGTATTTTTAATATTATGCTCAGAATGACAATTGTGGAGTCAGTGCAACAATTGTGAATGTATATTAGATGTGGGTTAGATTTTAGATCACCCTCAATTTTTTGCACAGTGCTTACTGACAGATGTACTTGCCGGCAACTCTTTGGTTACTTGGGCTGTGAGCAAATTTACAGTTGCTTGCCCAGCGTTTTGCATTCGCTTCAGCAGCCGAATTCCATCTCTAAATGAAAAAAAAGTAGTAAATGTGTGAATGGACACATTCTCTAAAAATGGAGAACATCATATACCTCTGATTTCTTAAAAATTTCACGTGTTCTGTTCTAGATTCAATCCCCAACCTCAGTCCCTGGATGATCTTAAGCATTGTTTAGCATTACCTTTGCCTGACTCATGCCAGCTATGCTTAACGATAGTAAGGTAAAAAAGGTAAAGGACCCCTGGACAGTTAAGTCCTGTCAAAGGTGAATATGGGGTTGCGGCGCTGATCTCACTTTCAGGCTGAGGGAGCCGGCATTTGTCCGTAGACAGCTTTCTGGGTCATGCGGCCAGCATGACTAACTGCTTTTGGTGCAACGGAACTCCATGATGGAAACCAGAGCACATGGAAACACCGTTTACCTTCCTGCAGCAGTGGTACCTGTTTATCTACTTGCACTCTCATGCTTTTGAACTGCTAGGTTGGGCAGAAACTGGGACAGAGCAATGGGAGCTCACCCTGTTGCATGGATTCAAACTGCTGACCTTCAGATTGGCAAGCCCAAGGGGCACAGTGGTTTAGACCACAACGCCACCCACATCCCCAGCCAGCTTTTAAACCCTGGTTAAGATGGTGAGTTAGGTGCTCTCAGCTACTCATTGGGATGTGCACACATTACCATTTACTTGGGTTCCAGTGCACCACAACCACTGGGCTTTGAATCTATGGATGCACAATGTTATTCATATTCCAAAGGTATGCTGCCATTTCTTGTGCTTTGGTGTGTTTCCCTCCAAGTCAAATTTGGCCTGACGCGAGCATTGTAGCCTTGTCCCACTTCTAGTGAAGCCCTGGTGTGTACATTAGAGACACTGGTGTTTCCTTCTGGGGTGGTGGTACTACATGTCTGACATCAGAGTTCCCCCGTCTCCCTCCTCCCACACCTCTCTTGCCAGGAGTGCCCCTTCCTTTTCACAGAAGACAGCCTCCATTCCACCTGCCACAGCTGCTTGCTGGGGGAGAAAAGTCTGCATGTTTAGGCAAAGTTGTGGTGGTGAGGCTTGGGCCACAGAACTCAGGACACATTGGACTCAGCTACATTAGTACAGAAAAAGCGTTTTAAATGCGTTATAACACTGTGACCCCAGATGACCCTGTAGAATTCCATCTTTCGCCAACACGATTTCCCATTATGAGGTTTACAACACGTTTTCCTGAAATGCTTTTTTGAGGTGTGTAGATCCAGGCATTATATAGCATACCCGCCAACTTCTTCTAGCCTAAATCCAGGGCACCCCCACACCCACTCAGGCCCACCATCACCACTGCCACCCCCACACCACTTCCCTGCTCACCCCACACCCACTCAGGCCACTTCAGCACGCCATTGCTGCCCCCCGGCTGCCTTAACTTGGCTGGTTGGGTTTTCTCTCCACCACCCCGGCTGCCACCACCGTGAGGTTTTTTTTGTATGCTTATTCTTAGATCTTATTAGGACTTATGTGGGGAATATTTAATTTTGTTGTATATGTCTGGATGTGTTTTATTCTTTGCTTATGACAAATTTTGTTATATTTATCTAATTATGTAAATTGCATTGAGCATGGCTTGAACGATGGAATAGTGACATACGCATAAATGATGATATGCAAATATGTGCCCACTTTTTGTCCTCTTCTGTCTTTTCTAAAACGATGTGTAAGTGGCATTCAAGCTGTTGTTGAATCTAGTCCTATCCTTGAAGATTACTATGAGAGGGTGAAGAACAAAGGTTTTCTGCCTGCAAGGAGGTGTAGTATCCCTGGAAAGCCTTTGCCAAGGCCCCTGACCTACACCAAGGCCTCTTCCTTGCTTACCATCTTCAGCATGTTGCTTGCCGGTGGCTGCACTCCTCTCCGCAGGGCATTGTGCTTGTCAACAATCTGATTTCACTGAGCTGGTCCAATTCCTACTGCATGCGCCTGAAGTAAGAGAACAAGTAATATTCCTCTTGTCTTTATCTACAGGATTATTTTTCATTATGCTAATATAATTTTACCACTGCTTCTCTAAGAATCATGAAAAAGTGCTTAGTCGGCCCCATTTGCCTCTGTCAGGCTGCTCTGACCTAAATGAAATCTGAATTGTAAACTGTTGGGTAACGTAGTAACATCAAACTCTCTGGTGTATTCTGGATCAGTGGTGCGCCTGCAACCGTGGGTGCCTGAGGCTGGGCATTGCCATCACGCCCTTCTGGTGTGCGCGCTCTATGTCATCACGCCCCCCCCCCCGCATGCCCACATCACTCATACACAAAATGGGGGCGCAGTGACGTAGCGCACACACGCCAGGGGCATGATGACATAGTGCGCATGTCGCCCGCAGCATGCATGCGCAACCGAGCCTGGCTCTGTCATCTAAAATGTTGTGGGAGCCTTGGCATCCAGGTCCCTGGGCACCCGGCACCTATGCTTTGGATGAATCTACAGTTACTGAAATAAAAAAGAGACTTGCCATTACTTTTAGTGGAATTGAAAACCACAACATCCTTAAAGAATCGAGATTCAATCAAGTTTTTTGTTTTTTTTAAAAAATACAGTTACATTTGTTTGGACTTCCCCTTAAGTATGATATTTTTCAAGTTCATTGTGTTCCTGGATGAAGCAGTAAAACACATTTTGACTGATTAAAGAGAATATTTTGGTTGGCCCAATCCAATCTTAGATTTGAAAACAACTCTGCCAATTTTAGTAACACTTTCCCCCCTACTGATTTAAAGGGGAGAAAGTTAGGCATGGATGCTTGTGTAGCTAAGAAACTTACTTTTGAAGGAGGTTGTTGTAACACAGCTGCAAAACTCAGCAACACAATGAGAATGATCATCTCTGAAAACAAAATAACAGCAGGGGTTTTACCTTACATTTGCTGTTTGTATATAGAATGTACTTATTGAGACATGGCACCCCTCTCCTGAGGGCTGGTTTAGATTCCAAACTGCTCACGCGGCAGCAGCCGAGAAGTCGATTTCTGCTTCCCGGAACAGGGCTGGTCAGGTGACAGATCAGGATCTGCTGGAAGGTCTCTGGATGGTTTGCAGGAGATGAATGAGGGTTTTGGACTCCCGGTTGTTTAACAGTGGCAATTCATTGCTGAATTGTACAATGTAAGTACAATGTTTAATATAGATTATAGCATACTAATCCTCCACAAAGAAAAACATCAGGCTTTTATTTATTTTTTTTTTAAATAATATTTATTAGAATTTCGAATAATACAAAAAACAAAACAAAAAACAAAAAACAAAAAAACAAAAAACAAAAAACATTCATTGCATTCCACATTTTCAATACCTTCTTTCCAGAACTTCCCCTCACCTCCCCTTCTTGTATTCCATGTCCAAATGTTTATCCAACAAGTTCTTATCCCAAGATTTTTAACCTTGATTTGTTATTACAATTAATTCAATTTATATATCAACTTTTAACTTATATACATCGATCAATTAGCTTAAAGATTTTTTCCTGAGATCGACCCAGTTTCCCTTCCACGGATTCCCCATTTTTATACTAATAACAACACAAAATTAATAAAAAAAAGGTAAGAAAAAAATTTCCAGATCCCACCCTCCCTTCCCCGGCTTCGATCCCAAAACCATTATCCATTAAACCATCTGCTTCAGCCTGGCAACCTTACATCTGAGGCCCTTAAGTCTCTTTCAGTCCCTCTCTGCCGGTTTCTTTGACAGTCCTTTGTGTTTGGCACCAAGGCTCGGAGGGGCACAATCCCTGTAGTTTCCATGATTCTTCCAGCCAGACCTCCATGTTTAAAGGTGGAGCTCAAATCTTGTTTCTTAATCTTTTTATGTCCAAATGTCCCAAAAATTCCAGCTTCCACCTTGATCAAGTTTGTAGTCTCCCTCTTCACAGGCCTCCGGCTCACCTTTGCCCTCTGCAACGTTGCAACCCCTCCTTCTTGCTCCTTCTGATCAGCATCTTCTTCCGCTTCTTCCACTTCCTCAATTGTGCCTAAGTTCTTTTCTTGTTCTGCTGCCTGGATTTTCAAGTCATTTTCCAACTCAGTAGGTGCATTTATTGTTGACTCAGAAGTTATGGCACTTGTAGACAAAACATGGCCTTGTTCATACATCCTTTGTAACTTTCCCACGAGAAAGGCAAGCTCGTCCAGGTCAGCTAGTATTTTCCGGCCGATTTCCATTCTTGTAATGTCCCTGAATCCCCTGTAGAGGGGTTCTGGTTATTTAATATTTCTTTCACTTCAAACCCAAAGGCCAAGTTAAATTGTTTCAGTCCTTGTTTATTTTCAGCAACTTGTAACTATATTATATCCAATGTAGCCGGCAAGAACGTCAGAAACAAAGTTCTCTATTTTCCAACTTTGACAGCTAATTTGACAGCTGTCAAAGTCCTCTCTGTCTCCTCAGCAGGCTCCTCTCACGGATCACTCCCGGTCTCGGGGGGTGGGGGTGGGTGTGGAACTTAAATCAAAATGTTAACTCTTCTCCTCCAGCACAGTCACTTATGTTGTCAATCCATGCAATTAATGACTTTTATCCAAAATACAAGCTCTCTCTCGATCTTAGTTGTTAAATCCTTGCTTTAAAATGTTTACAATGAGGGGGAGACGGACTTCCTCTTTGCTCCTCCCCCGTTCGTAGAAAAACATCAGGCTTTTAGAAGGAATAATTGACCTGTAGTAACTTGGATGTACATGTTCCTTAAAGGTCATTCCCACTGGAATGGGAATCCCCAAGTAAATGCTCATAAAATGGCAGCCTTGAAATTGCTTTAGTCACAATCTCCTTCTCCCTGGGGGCTCTGGGTCTTTTAGTTCTGTCTGTGATCTCCAGACTGAATTGTGAGCACCTGCTGAAAAGTATGGTTCCCAGGAGTCTTCTGGGGGAAGGTATAAATGTGAAATTTGTAAAATATACATTAGATATATCCCTAGCATTATATCCGTTGAAGACTATGGTAATGCTCTTGCATATTACGATCCCAGGACCTCCCCCAATAAATAAAGACACAATTGACACAGAATTTAGTTTAAGGTTATTGGCATAATTTTGGCCACAACTTTATTGATTACAGATTGTGAGTGGTTTGCTTAGGCATTGGTTCCCGACCAGCTGCATCTGACCTTGTCAGGGCAGCACTGACGACTGGAAACCGGCAGAGGTCAGTAAGGGAAAACATTCTGGGGGAGCACTGGACCAGGTTCAGACTCAAGATCACCCCAAATGCTCCCAGGGGCCAGATTTACCCCAGCAATCGAGGGACCACCAATTGGGTTGTTGTGGCTATCTAATCGCTTCCACCCACACAAGCAATGAGGCCAGTCCTGATGATCTCCCCGCAACACGTGCTATCTGGGAGGAGGACACGATTTATCCGCTGGCTTAAGTGCAGAGTCTTCAGTAGAAGAGTTTTGTAAACTGCTTTCAGGGTTGTTGTTGTTTTTTTAAACAGTGAAGTGGTGTATAAATTTTATGAAATAAACAAATTAATAATAGAAATGTGAATATTAAGATGTCTCCCCCTGAGCTAACCTAACGTGTTTAGCTACGGCTGCCATACATCCGGATTTCCCCAGACATTTCAAAGGTGGAATTGACATCCAGGTGGAATCTCTGAAAGGCGATGCTTTGTCCTGAATCTTAGGCAAGTCAATTGAAATATTGGTTCAACAACAAAAAGCTCAGCAATTTTGGGGTTTCCTGGTTTTACTTTTTGAAATATGGCAACTCTAGTTGCAAATAACCTTCATATGGCAGGCTATGTGATATAGCAGGCTTTGGTATAAACTGGCTCCCCCCATCCCCCCCAAAATCTTACCTTCTCATTTCCAGTGAGACCAGAATAACCTCCTTTGCAGATTTAAGTTGGTTCTGGATGTCACTGAATGATGTCACTGGCTTATATACCTCTCCTGTTTCCTTCTCTGCAGAATGACTCAATGTCCAACAGTAAATCACACAATTTTGACCAGGGAGAACTTTGGATTTCTCTTACGTTGTTTAAAAAAAGATTATTTCCTGAAATGTATTAACCATCTTCTATGCAACAACAAGGGACGCGGGTGGCGCTGTGGGTAAAAGCCTCAGCGCCTAGGGCTTGCCGATCGAAAGGTCGGCGGTTCGAATCCCCGCGGTGGGGTGCGCTCCCGTCGTTCGGTCCCAGCGCCTGCCAACCTAGCAGTTCGAAAGCACCCCCGGGTGCAAGTAGATAAATAGGGACCGCTTACAAGCGGGAAGGTAAACGGCGTTTCCGTGTGCGGCTCTGGCTCGCCAGAGCAGCGATGTCACGCTGGCCACGTGACCCGGAAGTGTCTCCGGACAGCGCTGGCCCACGGCCTATAGAGTGAGATGGGCGCACAACCCTAGAGTCTGGCAAGACTGGCCCGTACGGGCAGGGGTACCTTTACCTTTATGCAACAACAAAGCATTTCTTATTAGTGAGCTCTTTCATGCCAGCCAACTTCTTATGAACGATTGATATCTGTGCTTGTTCTTTATCCCATGGCATCCTTTCATCACCCATAGAGCTAAGCACATTTACTTAGAAGCAAGTCCCATTTCCCCCCAAAGCAGAATGTATTTGCAGCTGCAGCCTAAGACTCTAAACCAACTGCAAACCATCATGAATGGTTGAAGGCACTGAGTCATTACAGATTGCTGTATGTGATCACAAGCTGTTTAGAAAACCCAATGTATCAACACCCCATTTCATTTGCATAGGTGTGTAGTTAAATCAGATCACTGATGTGCCTTCCTTTACTTTTCATTTAGAAGATGTGAGGATTTTAAATGTTGGATGTGTTAACATTCATAGATAAATGCTTTTAGGTAGCATTGCATAATAATGGCTACCCTTTCTTTTGATACAGACTTATGTGCTTCCTATAGCAGAAGAATTTCTCCCTTTGTTGTTGTTGTTTAGTCGTTTAGTCGTTTTTGACTCTTTGTGACCCCATGGACCAGAGCACACCAGGCACTCCTGTCTTCCACTGCCTCCCTCAGTTTGATCAAACGCATGCTGGTAGCTTCGAGAACACTGTCCAACCATCTCGTCCTCTGTCGTCCCCTTCTCCTTGTGCCCTCCATCTTTCCCAACATCAGGGTCTTTTCCAGGGAGTCTTCTCTTCTCACGAGGTGGCCAAAGTATTGGAGTCTCCCTGGTGAATTTCTCCCTGGCGCCTGCTAATTATATTGGAAGTAAAGCTCCCATCTGAGCCAATGGAAGCAGGTGTCAGTCGCCCAGTCTGGATCAGGACTGTCGCAAGGGAAGGGTTAAGTCCTCCTCCTGATAATAGTTGGGCTCTGCCTGCTATTGACTACTTACACTGTTTATGCACTGCTGAAGTGATAGGAAATGTTCTGGTGTCCCTCATTTGCTGATCCTTGGCAGCTCGTATCTCTTTATGCAGTGATGCCACACAGCTGATCTTTCCAGAGGTGATGCTGATGATGGCATACTAAGTGGCATTCCAGCATTCAGTGATTGCTTCTGTCCACTTAGCATCCTGACATAATTGCTGCACATATGTTCTGCTGCATGTGCTTCTGGAATCTGCTGAAGCAGAGTAGGGATTCATGGGAGCATGAGGATGTATCAGGAAAAGCAAAATACAGTGACTTATACTGTGTTACATGTCCTTTCTGGATTGTGACAAGTCATAATGTTCAAAACTGAATGTTCCTATTCAAATGTTCTTCTAGAACAAGGGATACCATGACTTTCTTTCTGCCGGAACTTTTTTTAAAAGCATTGAGCCAATAATATGTCGTAATACGTTTTCATATCTCACATATTATCTTAAGGCAGGCATAGGCAAACTCCGGTCCTCCAGATGTTTGGGACTACAATTCCCATCATCCCTAGCTAACAGGACCAGTGGTCAGGGATGATGGGAACTGTAGTCCCAAACATCTGGAGGACCGGAGTTTGCCTATGCCTGTCTTAAGGTTTGGTCTCTCATTCTGGTTTTCTTACACAAGATGCATTGGTGTGGGGAATGGGTAGAAAATGGGAGCAGGCTCAAATACTTTGTCAGTGTGATGGAGTCATAGCTCTGGTTGGTGGTCTCATTGCTCATAGACCTTCATCCTTCCCTCTTTCAGAAGAATAACCCTGGCCACTGACAAGTGAGTGGGGAAATGGAGGTAATTGCACAGGTGAAGTACAATTGTGGCCTTGTGTGCATATTATATCCCTGGATGGGTGAGTCTATGAACCAGCCCATTGTCCGTGAACTGGCCCATTGTGAATTGAGTCCACATAGTGGTGCATTGTGTTACTTTTGGTTATGACAGATATTAGCAATGAACTTTTCAGTGCAAATTAAGTTGTTCCCATAAATATGTTTCTAAGAAGGGCTCTTCCCAGTGTGCTAGCATCTCAAAATCAGGGTTACTTAAGTTGATTTACACAACCACTTGAATTGAAATTGTGTTGAATTTACACAACCACCATGAATTGATTATTCAAATGCATCTTATAGCAGATATCCATATGTATCCCAGTCTTGTGAGTGGTCCAGCTTTCTATATATGTCTTATCTGAAAGATTTAAGAACAGCTATATTTGGGAAGTTAAACCAAAAGCTCTTCTTTTCTTAGTGGGATTTCAGCTTGGATGATTTTTTTCTAGCTTGCCCACCAGAGTGGCAACTCAGTTTGGATGGAGAGTAATATGTTATAGAATGATGCTAAGCCTCACACTTCCTCTGGGAACAAGGGGTCCTGAGATCAGCTTGGTAGACACACACCTGATTAAGAGTAAGTTTAGCTATTTCTGTTGAGCCCTTGATCACACGCTTGTGTTCCTGGCTGGAAAATGGATCCAATGACCTGCAATGATATCTTCACTAAGAAGCTATGAAGTCTGCTTGTCTCAAAGCAGCATATAATGGCCTGATCCTGTTAAGCTCCACCAAAGCCAATGGATGAAGTTACTCAATGGGTAAGTCTGGTTATGAGTTACATTTACCACAGAAGCAGCCATGCATACACCAGGTTCTGACTGCAAGGTGGGGGTTTCAGCCTGAGGTCCACATATAACCTCCTGGGCAACTGCCTGAGGGCCACATGTCAGGGGTGACACTTCAGACTGCCAACAACTTCCACTCCC